TTATTTTTTCGAGTTTCGCGTTTTCTCTTGTGAGGCCCTTTCTCCTGTCTGGCGCGTCCAAGCAGATACGGGGAGGGGCGTCATGCCAAGAATATCACTTGGGAAATCAACAGGAACAACGCCGGCGGTGTCTTCGCGGTCCCAGCGTTTGGCACCGTCATGAATGCACTAATTTGGTGGTTTTTTTGCGCAAAGGCGCCAGCTACAAGAACGTATCCACACATTACATACGGATGCTTGACAATGACTTGCGAGACGGGGGCATAAAAAAAACACACTGTAGTGAACGTGTATAGGAACNGCGAAGCTGCTGATGAGACCTTCAATTTGCACCGCTTCTTGGAATAGCCCGTCCCCTACTTGCCAAGAAATGGCAAGAGGCGTCTGGACCCGAAATTTCAATTTTTTTGGCTCTCGCTCTCAATCAGATGCTACGCTCTCAATCAGGCGAATATGTTGTTACACGTCTTGCCATGTTTATCAAAACCAATCATGATGCTCGTGGAAGAAGGCAGAACTCCCCGATTGATGTCCTTGCCGCAACCCCCCCCCCGTACTCGTGTCTGTTAGACATGGGAAAGGCGTGGAATTCTTCGTACGGTATTGCATGAAATCCGTGACCGCACACACCGCAAGTTGTGTTATGTTCCAGGGCTCCATCAACATCATATTTACCTTATTAGACTATAGTTGTTGTTGCTGTTGTTATTGTTGTTTCTGACATTAGCTCAATTGTCCACAAAAATGGGGAGCCCGTCTTCTGGAAACGCGGCACATTCGACGCCGCGGGGAAACAAAACTTTAACGGGGGAAAGAAACCTGAGCATANGAGCATGGACATCGTCATTAGGCCAGGAGCCCTCACGAACGCATCTTATCCGGGGTACCGCAACAAAGGAATACTCCTCGATGTCACACACGCAGACCCGCAAGAACAGGTACACTTGCGGAACGACAGCGCGATCAGCGATGGAACCGCAGCCCAAGCATCCGAGGCGCGAAAGCGTCAGCACCACCCTCGTCCGGGACATGTGTCCTTTAACGAACGCAGCTTTAAACTTACCACCTTAGCCGTGGAAAGCTTTGGCCGCCTTGGAGAGGAGGGTTACGAGTTCATCGACGAACTTGCGACACATGCCGTGGGAGGAAGGGACGGAGGAACGATGGCTCTGAAAGGAGTCTTCAAGGAACGACTTCTTCAGATCGTTTCGGTGGCTACACAGGTGGCCATATCTCGGCGAGTGCAGAGGTACAAGCTCGCATTGCGCGGGCGTCAAGACGCCGAAAACAGGCGAACAAGATCGACCTCGAACCAGTCAACGCCAATGACATGGGGATGGAGTGTGGACGCATCGTAGAACGCGTTTTCGTTTGAAGTATACGTCTTGTTTGAGAGTAGATGTGACAGATTTGCGTAGAATAGGGTAACTAGTACTCCCTCTGTCCGAGAATATAAGCAAGGTTTGGAAATCCGGGAATATAAGCAAGGTTTGAAGAATATTGACGGAAACGTGCCATTTGGGCACGGTGGACGTCGGACAACTTTGGCAAACGATCACATATGACATTGGAGAGAGAAAAAAAAAAAATCCGCTCG